ACACAGCAAAACTTCACCTTAAGCAACGCCAGGTCTCATTGCCGACCATTCTTTCTCAGCCCTGCACCAACCACGCTTGTCGTTATCCGTTCTGTTGGAAACGAGTCCCCGAAGAGGAAGTGCTTTGACCGACTTACTCGGTAGATGGTACACTGGGATCTTGAAGTCCTCATCTGCCATGATGGCTGCATCCCAAATGTCATTGGGAGTCAGATGTTGGATGCGGAGCGTCAAGTTGAAGTCATGGGCATACATCACACGCATGCTCTGCATGCCTTTAGTGAAGCTGTCCTCCTTACATCATACCTCAAGGGGTCAGCACTTCAGTTGAGCAGGTCAGGTTCTGAGACCCGGAACGGGTTTGCACTTTGGAAGACATTGGTTGACCACTCTGCTCCAGCAACAAGACAACGTGCCTTGGCTTTGTCGCAAGCAATTTCGTCGTTTCCTCAGTACAAGCAGGCAGCAGGCAAGACATTGCAAGAGCACATCATGTCGATGGAAGCATTGGTACAGCAGTATGATGCCCTCAACGCAAAACGATTTGATCGTGGTGTTTTGTTGGGAATTCTGATGCGGTTGTGTCCTGAAGGGATTCGACAACACCTCAGCCTGGCCATCACAGAGAGTACTTCCTATCACGAGGTGAGAGAACGGATCTTGGCTTACGAGAGGAGTTCAATTCTTTGGAGTGTTGAAGACATGGTCAAACCTTTGAACAAGCAGGTTGACAGTTCAGGTGTTGCTCCAATGGAGGTGGACGCCGTGATTTACAAAGGCAAAGGGAAAGGTGGAAAGAAAGGCAAGGGCAAGAAAGGAAACAAAGGAAAGGGTAGCTGGTCAGATGCATGGCAATGAGCTAGTTCTTGGTCCAAAGGAGGGAGTCGAAAGGAAAGTTTTAGTTGAAAGGGAAGAGCAAGTCGAAGAATAAATTCAATCCGGATCGGTACCGCGTGTGCAATGGGTTTGGGCATTGGGGCAATGAATGTGCCCAAACAGGGACGATGTTCGAGAAGTGAGAGCTGACAATGTGCAGACAGCTGGTCAGCAACAGGAACAGCGAGTGCCTTCGAGTGCAACAGCATACAGCTCGGTTGGCAGCACGACAGACGTGTCTACATGTACCATGTTGGTACCCCTCCAATTCAAACGCCTGACAATTACACCCTTTCTGAAGTTTCATCAGAAGAGGACTGGACTTTGTTGAAGTGTCATGTCAGGACAGTGTCAGCCAGGGTAGAGACGATGGTTGGGCAGTATGACATTTTTGACGGTGAAGACTTGGTTGGTTCGGTTGAGTCCCTAGCAGACGACCCGTTCTACTGGTGGCTCAGTTCAGGTGAGCCGGAATCAGCTTTGATGTCAGGAGCCTTTCAGACGCCCGAAACTTTGCATGCGAGAATGGTGGAAGCTGAACATGAGCATGAATGGATTGCGCTTGTTTCAGGTGCGGACGTTTCGCTCTTGCCACACAGGCGCGTTGCTGGATATGATATCCCCTCACCCAATATCCAACTAGAAGACGCTCAAGGCAATTCATTGAAGGTTGGTGGCGTGAGGAAAGCACAAGTTGAATTTGAGCATTGCTTGTCAGGAGACACAGGATGCTGTTTGAGCGAGTCTTTCATTGTTTCAGATGTGACAAGCATTCTTTTGTCGTTTGGCCGCATGTTGAAGACAGGTTGGAAGTTTGGTGAACCTTCAGGAGATGACCTAGAGCTGGTAGAACGATTAGGACATGGTTCTTGTGCAGGAGTCATGACATCACCAGACAACCTAATCAAGATTCCCGTGTATTTCAGGAAGAACAGCCTCAGTGCCTTGGCCAATGTGCAACAGGTGACAGAAGAGCCAGGTGTAGCTCAGATCCCAGTTGAGCATGTGAGGACGGTGTATGTTAAGTTGACATTTGATGTTGGCAAGTTGAAAGACGGTTGGTCGTTCATGGAGAATGGCAATCCAGTTCATAAGTATCGAGGAAAGTCGTTGACTGATCCGGGTACAGCACTTTCAAGAGCAGTTTGTGAGGTTGTGGGACATTCCAAAGAGTTGGCTTCTATGACAAGCTTGGATCTTGACATTTCCACGAGCGCCTGCATGTGTGAGTTGATCCGGGATGAACAGCTGCCTGAGTTGTTTGATGAGATTGAACTTCATGATACGCCAATGGTTGAGAGAGGCACAGCGGGAGGTCACGAAGAACAGCCTGAATCTGTTTGGGTGAACGGAAAAGAGCTTTCAAGAGGCAGCAGAGTTCGTGACTTGCAGGATGGTTGCAATTATCTTGGGATCAATGCAAGTGGGTCCAAGGCCAAGCTTTATGACAGGTTGTGTGCATATTTCAACAAACAATACCCAGAGCAGCCACACACCTACAGAAGCATGAAAAGGGGCCAGAAGTTCGAATGCAAGAGAAGAAAGCTGGGCGACCATCTGATCCCAAGGAGGTGGAAAGGCATGAAGTGACGCACTTACGGTCTGCTGCATGGTGCGAGGCATGTTTGAAGACCAAGTCGAGAGAAGACAGGACAATTCAGAGCACAGACGCAGAAGCTGAAGATCCTGGAGTGCCTCACATCCAAATGGATTGGATGTACCTTGGAAGGAGCTATCCATCGTTGATTCTCCTGGACACCACGTCGAGGTATGGAGCCGTTTTTCTTGCTAGAACACAAGGAGTTTGGCGTGCCCTAGCAGAGTTTTGTGTGAAGTTTTCATTGGGGCTGAACTATCTTGGAGAGGCGGTGTATGTCATGGATTCAGAACCTGCGACCCTTGGCTTGCTTGATATGATTGTGATGGTCAGACAAGCAATGGGCTACAAGACCTCAAAGAAAGCAGGAAAACCGTACCACAAAGGGCAACATCCATGAAGTGTTGGATGACCTACATTGCCTACAGGCTTGGGCGTTGGTGCCTTCGGTCTTCCTATTGAATAGATTTCACGAACATGCAGCAATCAGAGCAACTGCATTTTAAACTGCGTTTGGACAGAAGTATGCTGGAAAATTGGTCCCGTTCGGTGAATTCGTGTTCGGTCTCCAACAACCTATGAAGAAGCGTGGCACCAGCGTCTGGCAGGGAGGCATATGGATTGGTAAGGACGAGAATGACATGCACGCGCTCCTTACTGCGGGTGGACAATTTCACATCAGGTCCATTCGAAGATGTTCACATTCCTGGAGGCAAGATGTGATCCTTTCGTTGACTTCATCCCCATGGTCAAAGACCAAGAGCTCAGGATGTGTTGGAATTTTAGAAGCACCCATGTCAGTGATCCAGGAAAGATCCGAAAGTGCAGATCCCAGAGAACCAATCTTGTTGGGAACAAGTGAAATCGATGAAGATGCTGAAGCAGTGCGTGGCCAATTGGATAATTCCTATGAGCCTACAGAAGTTGGGAGTGAACAAGGACAAGGAGGAGGAAGAAATGCTCTAAGTGAAGAACCTTTGGAGCGGTTGTCAGATGTTCAGAGGAAGAGCCTTTTGGGAATTCCGGTGATCCCAAGCACACCAACACAACAGATAGAAGTTGATCAAGAGGGACAACCTGGAGAGAAAAGGAATGCAGAAGAAGCTCATGAAGAAGACCGAGATAACAAGGCGGCGCAGTTTGAGAGAGCTGAGAGCCCACGTTCAAGTCCAAAAGCTGGTTTATTTGCTCCCTTGTGCGCAGGCGGCCTGAATCGAGTTGACATGCCGCATGGAGATGTTTGTTGGGAGAACGAAGTTGATTGGGAGTTGATTGAAGATGAATTGGGTAACTTTGAGCCTGATTTTCACGGCGAGAGACCCCCTGATTTGCCACCAGAAGATTTAGAAGCATTGGACAGTGAAGCCATGAAAACAGAAGTTCAGAAGTTGACAGATATGGGCGTGGTACAAGTTCTGAGAGAACAGGACATGGATCCTTCCCGGCTGGCAGCGTTCCCCGCCGCACCTCAACCAGCACACAGCCACAAACACACAATCACAAACTGAATCACAAACACGCAAACGCAAACAAAATCACAAACACACAGCCGCAACACGCAACCACAAACGCACAAGTACAATCACGAGCGCGCAATCGCAATCACAAACACACAACCACAAACACAACCGCAAACACATCCACAAACACACAACCACATCACACAACCACAAAGACACATTTACAGCGCGCAACCACAGCACACACACAACCACAATCACAGCACACAACCCGAGGACCCACAAACAAAGTCGAGAACCACAAAACTCACGACCATGGCAACATATTCCTCACCGTGGCGTGAGTGAAGACAAACAAAGGAAATGTCATGGTGGGGGTCACTCGAAGCAGAGTAGGGGTCTTTGTGTTTTAAAGGAACTTTTTGTTTTTCACAGCACGCCCTTCGCTGCAGGAGATTGAGCGAGTTTTCCCGTTGGCGCACGAGACTGGAGTGTGAGTGGAGAGGGGTGATGTGCTGAGGTCCCAAAGTTGGGCTGGGTGGAAAAGGCCTTCATGTGCAAATGCCCGCCGTCATATCTTGCTGTCGCTTTTCACTAGGTTCAACCAAGGTGATAAGTTCATGTTTGCAAGTGTTTGCTGCCTCATGTTCTTACGGCTCTGAAAGGCCTAGCACTGGCAGACAGAATGCACTTAGGGTTCCATGTTTTTTCACCTAAATCCAAAGTTGCGCCAAATCACGTTGTCAAACATACCAGGGTCGTCGACATTGTTTTTGTTTGCAGCTCTCAGATGGCCCATAATGGGCCACGGGCGATTGTGGCAGCAAACCACGCATCGTCGCTGAAGCTGCCAAGTGCAGACGAAGAGGCAGAACACGCAGAAGAAGATGATGGAATGACGACCTTTTTGAACAGACCCATCAACGATGAACTAGTGCTCTGGAGCCTCGAGGACAAGCAGTATATTGGTCTGGTTGGATTGACCACGCGCATGGAAAGAGTTTCTCGTTTTGTTGCGTGCCAGCATGGTTGGACGGACTGCGTGCCTTGCGAATGGTGTGCGCCTGGGTTGACCCCTGGGGCGCCGCCTGAGTTCGAGGAGCGCGCAACGTGGACAGTTCTAGACCCGTTTGCTTTGCCTGCATGGTGCGGCCATTCCTTCAAGACACATTGGCAGAGGCTACGGCGCTCGAAGCTGGAAGAAAATCACGACGAAGACAGGCCTACTTCATGCCTACCATTTCCAAACCTGAAAAGTTTGATCAATTTTATCTATGATCCTGACTCGGGTAGACGAAGCGACTTGAGAAATATTCGGCGAAGGTTTCTCTTGCAGGCGGATGTTGCTCAAAAGCTTGTGACTGGCTACGAGCGTGTTCCAAGCCAGCAAAGACTTCTTTTCCAATGCGTTCAAGGGGGTGAAGGGGTAGTTGTGGATATTGGAAGCGAAGAATGTCCAAATCATGGAGGGGAGATCGACGTGTTTTTCCATTACACGTCGGCGGACCGGTTTTGGAATTTCATTCGAAACTCTGACTTCAGGTCCGTGGTCTCCAAGGAAGGTTGGTATGGTGAAGGCACGTACTTGACAAGAAAGGAGCCAGCTGAATTTGTTTCCAAGAAACACATCTCGTGGAACAATTGGGCTGCCCCGGCAGAGACGGTGGTTTTGGATCCCAACGCAGATTCCTTGTTGGAGAGCGGTAAGGTTGATTATGCTTTGACATTTGTCGTGACCAGATTGGGGGCAGAGGGTGTCATAAGAAGGATCAGCTTGGATGAGAAAGCGCCTGCTGGCGTTGGACCACGAATCGCCCAAGAGAGGCCACTGAGCGAACTTCACAGACCTGATGTTGTGTCGAGAAACCAGGATGAGACTTCAGATCAATGGCTGCTTCCATCACAATTGCGCTAATTTTGTTTTTTGACTCTTAAGCGAATCGCGCTCCCGAAAGGGACCAGGACCTCGTCTTTGAGTTTCGACCGTTGAGTGCAAGAGTACCAAAGGTGCTCGAGTTAAAACCACTTCGAAGATTCATAAAAATATGACTGCAAGACGACTGCAGACGTTTTTGTCCCACATCTTTGTGTGGGTTCTTTCATGACCGGGTCACATACATGCACAATTGCGCCCCTAAAGGAGTATGTATTTCCTCGACTCCAGTGTTCATCCCCAGGCAAATTTCTACAATTTGTGTTTCTCGGTCGATGGATTGTATTTTATGCGACGATTATGGATGTCCCCGGTCCCCTTTCATGCATGCCCTTGAAAAAACAAGACGGAACCCAAGACCCCGAATGCAAACACATGCTCAAGGACAAACGCCCCAAACATGTTTCGACACTTTTGCAGGAGACACTCCCTGTAGAAGGCTCTTGTGGCACACTCTCGTGCGACACGCTCGACACTCTGTGGGACACTCCTGTACGACACTCTTGTGGGACACTGTTGTAGGGCACTCTTGTGGGACACTCTTCTCCGAGACTCTTGTGGAACACTATTGTTTGTAGGACGCTCTTGTCGGACACTCTTGTGGCACACTCTTGTGCTGCACTCTTGTAGGACACTCTTGTAGGACTCTCCAAACGCGTCTGTATTGAAGTATTGCCATTGTATATTTTTAATGTTCTATTTTCACTCGCTGTTTAAGCCACGACAACTTGTTCCAGGTTTGCTTTTGCATCGTGCTTCCAAGTTTTTCAAAAGCGCTTGATTTCGCGAAGGCTGAAGGCTGCACGCCCATAGATTCCACTGAAAGTTGAGCGGACAGCCAAAGTTCTTGCACCTGCAGCCCTTGGGTTCAGCTGACGGTTAAGTTTTGAGCCACAACCATACATGGCCAGTATGGGCTATAGATAAGCAAGCGACAATCACATATCCGGTGTTGGTTTGGACTCCTGCAGCGCGTGATCCTACTCGCGAAAGTTCGCCCTAGTTAAACATGCACTTTCCAGAAGAAAGGCATGTATATGTACTGTAGATCATCCCAAATGTGGTGGCGCTCGGTTGATTCATTGATTGTCTTGAATTATGGGCAGAAGAACAGACATGGTTGATGCTCATAAACCCCATCCCCGTGATTATTTTCAGGAGTTGGCCACGGTAAAAATATGTTCATTGGAATTGCGGTTGGTTTATGATTCAGCCACGTTGGGCGCAGAGTGGCACCAAGCTTACCGAGGTTCCACGTGCGTTGGCATTCCCCTATATATGAATCAGTAGGTATTGAAATCCAATAACTGGATAGCTTTGCAACCGCCACAGCACACTGCAGCGTCATTGATCTGAGTCGCGCTTTGTTGCCATTCGCTGTGGGCCATGGCTAAATTGGAGACAGAACCGCAGCCTGAAACGAGAAGCGCTGCGTTGGAGTTTGCTTTTTGTGGCTTTGATCTAACCTATCCACGTGATCGTTTGAAAGACCTCTTCCAGATGCAGCCTGCAGTGGAGATTTTTCCTTCCTTTTCGTTGGGCTATCAAGGATTTCCTTGGGATCCGGCTAGGGGCTATGAAGAGGGCACCGATCCTTTTTCTTGCCGCCAATATGGGGGTGCAAGCTACCCTGCTTGGCACGAGATAGAAGCTCTGATCAAAGCCATGCCGTCAGGCACAAAGCTTTCGTTTCGTCTTAATGACACGGAAAAATGGAAATACGCAAGCTGGCTGCTGCAAGGCCCTGACTGTGAGAGAGGCAACGATATTCTCAAGTTGATTGACTACTTGTGTGACAAGTTGCATGCGCATCACATACACATCAGCATCAGTTCGCACGGAGTGAATCCGGAACTGATCATGGAGACAGCGTCTAGCAAGTGGATTCAAAGCGCGCAGAATGTCATGCATTTGGCGGCCAGATATCCCCATTCGATATTTTGGCCGTCGGTCTTTGAGACCCTAAGTGTGATGTTGCGTTTAATGATTTTTTGTTGTTTAGAACTAGCGCAGATCATATGGTTGAAAACCTCTGCAACGTCAAAAGTCAAAACTGATTTGTGCCAATTTATGCCTGAGTGGATCTTGAGGAACGATGAGGTATGTACCTGGCCCTTTGTCCAGAAGGTCTTTGACATGTCGAAATCCTGCACCAGAGACGGTCGGCCGCTCCCAAATCTCGCAGGCTTCTTTGACAATAGCCGTGGCTCAGGGAAGGAGCTCGGGCAGCTGAAAGGGGAAACTTCCTTCACTTACAAAACACAAGAGTTCGTGTGGGGTTCCAAATGAGTGTACAATTCCTATTTGGACACAGACAGTCTTTGTCGCACAAACAACTGACAGGCTTCGCCAACCGGCGATGCCCTTGGGGGGAGTGCGCGTGAGGGTGTGAAGTAAAAGCCCGGCAACTTCAACTTGAAAACACGCGTATGCATATGCACACCTGCACACGCACTGGCGCGCAGACAAATGCAGAGGAGCGTATCCACAGGGGAGTTGCACAGCAAAGTGGACGCAAACGCACCCGCGCGCACTACCAACCACTAACTACTAACTACTACTGACTACTAACTAGTAACTACTACCTACTACTACCTACTACTACCTACTACTACCTACTACTACCTACTACTACCACTACTACTACTCCTACTCCTACTCCTACTCCTACTACTACCACTACTACTCCTACTACTACTACTACTACGACTACTACTACCTACTACCACTACTACTACTACCACTACTACTACTACCACTACTACTACCACTACTACTACCACTACTACTACTACTACTACTACTACTACTACTACCTACTACTACCTACTACTACCCACTACTACCTACTACTACCTACTACTACCTACTACATACTACATACTACATACTACATACTACATACTACATACTACATACTACATACTACTACTACTACTACTACTACTACTACTACTACTACTACTACTACTACTACTACTACTACTACTACTACTACTTACTACTACTTACTACTACTTACTACTACTTACTACT